TATAGCTTAACGATGTTTCTTTCATTTGTGATAACTTTTATTTTATTGGATTGTGACGCTTATTATATCTAGAATTTGTTATTTCTACATTTGAAGAAGACATCCCAAATAGCAGATAATGTCTTTTAAATGTTTTTTGAACGTTCTTTTTCATTAATTATCCATTTCCTCAACTCATTTTGGAAAAAATATTTATTTAACATTTATTTAATTTTTTTTTCATTAAGTATTCATTTAAAATAATAATTGTTAAAAAATGTTTTTTAAGCGTTTATTTAATATTTTTTAAGTACTTATTTTTCATGAACTATTCGTGTGAGAAAATGATTTCGGTAAACATTTTTTAAGCGTTTATTTAATATTTTGTAAATATTTACTTTTCATTAATTATTATTTATTTGAGAAAATAATTTCATTAAACATTCTTTTAACTCTTATTTTTTCAATGTTTCTTCTTCGTAATTATAGAGAGAAAATGTTCTTTAAACGTTTATTTTTCATTAATTTTCCATTTCACGATTCGCTTCTTCCAAGATGACATTCATTTAACATTTATTAAATGTTTTTTGTAATTAATTTTACGTTTTATGACTTGTTTTCAAAATAACATTTTTTAAACATTTATATGACGTTCATTAATGTTCGTTTTACGTTATTTATTTATTTATTTAAAATATGATTAAAAAACATTTATTTAACATTTATCTGACGTTTATCATCAGTATGTAAAAAATTTTGTTATTTTCTAAAACTCAAATTAATAAAAAACGGATCGGAATAATAAAATAATGACGGAAGAGGACTTAACACAATATAATTGCGTTAAGTGTTTCATATATGGACAATAAGAACTGTGCATCGATAGTTATAAGTGGCGTAACGAATAAGATACGAGATTCATAACCCTATGGCTCCAGGTTCAAAACCCGATAAGTGAAAGAAATTTCTTTATAATATAATTAAAATGTAATTAAAAATTAAAATTAATTAATAAAATGAAGTTATATAGGTTTATGCACTATTGATATAAAGAAATAAATTAAAAAAGAAGGTTCTACATTGTTATTTTTTCTAATATTGTTCAAATAATTTTAACATTAGAAAAACGTTTCTAAAAACGTTTCTAAAAACGTTTTTAAAAACGTTAAATATAATAGGATAGTTCCCTCTTTTTTTCATTAAACAAATATTCCATTATTTAAACATTAAAAAGAACGTTTTTTAAACGGTATAAAAACGTTTTATAAACATTTTCTTCAAATCATTTTAAAACATTTTTATAACGTTTAAAAAACATTTTTTTTAACTTTTAAATAAACAATTTTTTAATGAAAAAAGAGGGAACTATCCCATTATTTTTAACGTTTTTAAAAACATTTTTAGAAATGTTTTTCAAATGTCTTTAAAAACATTCTTTTGTCATGCTACTTGGGATAATAATAATGTCGAAACGTCTGTAATTCATATTTATGATTTATAATACTTATATGATGGTTATTTTCACGAAAAACATCTTGTGTTGGCTTATATTGGCAATTTTTCCTTATAGATACAGTATGTTGTCAAAATATTAGGGATAGTGCGATTTTTCTGTTATTTTTATATTTGCAAGTGCTTTTTAGTGAAAATATGGCTGGAAACTTATTTTTATAAATGTTTTATTACATTTCACAATGAACAAGTATCATGTCCAAGTAGAAAATATTTATTATTTCATGCAAACAATATGTACAATTAATTAATTAATATTTTGTCACACCGTCCTTCGCCGCAATAATGGCTTTGATGCGACGTGGCATGCTCTCAATGCATGATTTTAAATTTTCTCTTAATTCAAGAGAGTGGTGCCATACTTGTATCAGTTTCTCAATAAGTTGGTGCTGAGTTGATATGACTTCTTTGGCCATTGTTCGGTTGGTGAGCTCTCACAGGTTTTCAATAGGATTCATATCAGGTGAATTTCCAGGTCATGGCTGAACTGATACTTAGTTATGAGTGAGGAACGCTGTAATACTTCTGGCTTTGTGACACGAAGCGGAATCGTGCATGAACACATATCGGGTGCATTCAGTACCACGACCACTCAGTGAGCGCTGTCATTGAGCGGTCGTGGTACTGAATGCACCCATTTTTAACCTTCTGGGTACCAATCGGCAATCTGAGGCAACAGCCGATTTTCTAAGATTTGTTTGTATTGGTCTTATTTCATTGTCCCCTAGACGATATGAAGGCGTCCTATGCCTTTGATGAATGGATTGATCACACCATAATACTGGTAGGGTGTTTCACTTTTTCTACCAAGCAATCGGGATGATATTTTTCCTCAGGACGGCGTCGTACGAACTTGCTCTGGTCAACTAAAATTTGAAAAGTCGATTCGTCTGAGAAGCACACCTGTAAAATTAAAGAATATTGTAAAATTGTCACATTTTAAAACTTTTTACAGTATAACAAGGCTTAATTACTTTATTCCATTCTTCAATGTTCGAGCCCATTCCAGACGCTTCTTCATTATAAGTGAATTCAAACGTGGTTTTATAGTGGGTCGATGGCCAGTCAGCTTTCCCTCAGCCAATTTCCTTTGCATAGTTCTCTTCGAGACAGCAATTCCATCGTTGTTTGTGAGCGTTGTGAGTCGTGCAACACTCGTCTTTCTGTTCTCAAAGCAAATATTCCTGATTTTGTGATCAGTACGTGGAGTAGTGATGCGTTTTCGTCCACTCTTGCCTGTTCGGTTAGCCTCTAAAGGCAGATTTTGGTCCAATTTTATTTTTAATCTGTTTACCACTGACTTTGAAACGCCTGCAATCGTCGCTATTTGTCTCTGTGAATGGTTTGTATTTAGCAGAAGAGTCTTAATTTCAGCGGTTTTCAGAAATATCTGCACCTTTGCCAATACTTAAAATAAGGATAAGAGTTAATAAAGAGGAAAAAATCTTTTTATTTTATTAATAAATGATAAAATATGAAACAACTTACCTTAAAAATAAGTTTTAGCCACAAGATTGAGCTATAAATTTCTCTTTCACATTTCAAATGCAACGAAAATAACATGTATTCACTCGCTTGCAAACTGACAAATGATGACTGACAGTTAATATTTTGAAAGCTGAATGTCATCAGTATTGCCAGCCTTTAGAATTTACAAATAACCAGAATGGGCATTAAAAACGAAAATACTTCACGGAATTTCACTAAGAAGCACTTGCAAATTTAAAATTAATAGAAAAATCGTACTGTCCCTAATATTTTGGCAATCTACTGTACATATATCAAAATAAAGAAGTTGGGTCATTAGAGAAGGGGTGAATAAAACTCATTTGTTTGTTTAATAGACATTGCGTCAGTAGGAAATAGTTTCCATCAAGCATCAGATGCATATCTCTACACGTTTAATACTTTCTATATAATTTTTGTTTGCAACATTATAGGTCAAAATTGCAGACAAAACGATACATGTTTCATGTGCAAGAACAAATTATCAAAAAGTGCAACAGTTACAGTGGTTTGAAATATTTGGTAGAAGCCAGTGTTCAAAGGAAGGACAAAAACATTACTTTCCAGCACTTTTTTTCGAAAACGGTTGGATTTATGAAAAAATTCTATATAACCTTTTTTATTGAGAATTGAATGCTCTTCAACTTTTATATAAAACATTTATTCGTATGTACAACTATTCGTGAGTTATTTTCGAAAATCGATTTTTGGTACCTTTGACTAAATATGGTGGCTTTTCCGTACAACATACCGATGAGAACTTTTGTGTTTCTTTGATATGTCAAAATAGAATTTTCTTCAAAAATTCAACTCCTCCGGAGTTTTTTCTTAGAAATATCCTATTTTAACTGGACTGTATACTATACATTATGTCGACAAAATAAATTTAAATATTATTTAAGTATCAATTAAACATATATTTAAATATCATTTCTGAAGTACTTAAAATTTATTAAGAGTTTTGTAATCTATTTACAGATTACAAACTTATTGAAATAAACTTGAAGTATTTCTCAAAAATGGTAATTATATCGTAAACTATTTCGATTAATTAATCACATTACATGTATAAGCACATATACATAATCACTAGAAAAATAGAAAGTCACTTACACCTACAGTTTCCACACAATATCATTATTCATGTACAAAAGTTTTTCGAAATTAAAGCAGAACAACTCACGATAACATCAAAATGACATTAAACTGAATTTTAATTGATCAAAAAATGACTTTTAACATCTTAAAACATTTTGAAGCCATTTTAACATCATGATTTTTTGTTCTGTTTAAATATGTTTTTCAATTTATTTATTATATATATGATAGCTTTTAGAAGCACACTTCTGTTAAAACATTTCATATGACATATTGCAGAATACTTTCAGAATTGTTGCACATGAGATGTGAAAGGTTGAAACATTTCTGAAAATTTTCCGCAACAATCGATGCTGTATGGGTATAATTTATTATTACTTAAAGCCTTTAATGAATTAAGTATCTGCTCTTCATTTGTTATTATACTTAGAGAAAATTAACAATTCGTTATTTTACCCACTTCATTATGTTATCCTACAGGCGTTGCAAAGATACAGTTACGATTGATATTTATAATGGACAGCACTAATACATTCGATTTTTGAATTAAGCATTTAGATTAAAAATATTGAAATCTATTTTTACTTATCAATTTAATATTACACAATACATTATGTACTTTTTATATTTTTATAATTTTTTATATTTTTATATTTTTGTACTTGTCAGACACTTAAAAATAAAAACTGCTAAATATTACTACAATTTTATATCACGATATATGAATATTGAGATATATAACGTTTTTTAAATACTTGATGCAAATACCTTATCCGTAAATGGAAAGTATTAGTGACGCACATTTAGAATATAATATATTCATAATTAAGTAATACAATCGTAATTAATTGAAATAAAAATTATTATTGAACAGTATTCAATAACAAAAGTAAATATTGTCACAGATATTTCGATTCATGATGAGTTCACCAACCCTGCGAATTTGGATACAGCAGGATCCGTCGATCGCCTTCTTCTAGGATTAGTAAATCAGCCATGCCAGAAGCGGGACGAGTTCATAACCGAAGAGATGACTAATCGTCTTTTTCAAACGCCTGGTTTTCCATTCGGCATGGATCTTGCTTCCCTCAATATCCAGCGGGGTAGAGATCACGGTTTACCGCCTTACATCCGATGGCGTAAACCTTGCAGTTTGAGCCCGATAAGAACCTTTGAGGATCTTAATAAAGTGATGTCGCCGGACATCATAAGAAAATTGAAATCATTATATTCGTCGGTGGAGGATATTGACCTCTTCTCGGCCGGTCTAGCGGAAAAGTCGGTAGTTGGCGGTCTGGTTGGTCCGACTTTCGCTTGTATAATTGCTCAACAATTCAGTAATCTGCGACGTGGCGATCGATTCTGGTACGAAAATCCCAACAGCGAAAGCAGTTTTACCGCTGGTCAATTGCAACAGATCAGACAAGTCACTTTGGCCCAAGTACTGTGCCAAACGATGGATGGCATTGAAACCATACAACCATTTGTTTTCCTCGCAACGGATATGTTAAAGAATCAACGTCTCTCTTGCGATGATTTTGCTATTGGACACCTGAGATTTGAACACTGGGCCGAACGGCCATCTGAATTCAAAAGCAACGTCGACAACTCGCAAAAAGTTAAACGAGCAGCGACCGACACAAGTTTCTCTATTTCTAGGTCAAAAGAGGAAAATATCCATCCTAATAGAAAAGTTCATCCCAAAAGTAATCCTGATCATACAAAAGTTACAACTCCAAAACCTTTTCAGAATAGCATTAATCAAGAAAATAAAGTCATTGTAAAAAGGCCATTTGTTCGACCAAACAACAACAATGTCACCATCGTGGTCCAAAATAATGCTGTAAATGCTCCTGTTTTCGTAAACGAGGGTATCTACGATTCACATATCAAAATCCAGGAACAGCTTCCTATCAGCTCAACTTCTCGACCGCAGGGAAAACCTATACCAACGACTATTCCTCATTCACCAAATTTTCATTTAGCAAATCAACCGTACGTTCCCTACATACAGATTGCCTCCTTTCACACAGGATGACGTCTTTTATGATAACTACTCTGCCACTAGTCCCAGACCTACTCTCTACACTTATTACACAAATTTCCAGAAGGCTACTACGCAAATGCCAGAGATTGACGGTTATTTGATTAATTACGGACTTTTAAATCACAATTTGATTCCAGCATCTCCTTACGGAAAATCAAAACCTCTAGAAAATTTCGAACATCATGAATTGAAAGATGAACAAAATCCGGTGCAAAAGCCGAATTACGCTGATCCTAAACTTTCAACAAACATGGAGTTGATCAGACCAAATTATGCATCAAGTGATAAATCTTATACACATAAATCAAATTATGATGAATATAAACATTCAACAACTACGCGACCAAATTTCCGACTGAATTATGCAACGAACGATGAATTTTATTATACACATAGACCAAGTTATAATAAACCTTCAATTATACGACCAAATTTTCGACCGAATTATGAAATAAATAATGAATGTCATCATATTCATAAATTAAATTACTGTGGATATAAACCGTCAATCACGCGGCCAAATTTTCGACCAAATTACGTATTGAATAATGAACCTTATCATACAGACAAATCAAGTAATGACGAACATAGGTCTTTAACAAGTACGCAACCGAATCTTCAATCCAATTTTGGATGGAACGATGAATTATATCACAGACCAGATTATAATGTATTTAAACCTTCAGGCAACTCGCAATCAAATGAAGATTTACATCATGTACAAAAACTAATTTATAATAGATTTACGTCCCTAACAAACTTCCGATCAGATAAACCAAATCAGGAATCATATAATAAACTAAGCGGTGTCGAAAATCTACATTTACAAAGTAGTGATCTTAATCTGTATCAGAAAAAGCCGAATATTGAACCACCAAGTTATAGCATTGATAATTCCCATCAAACATTTTTTACTACTAAGCCAAGTAACGAATATAACTCTCAATTTTGGAAGAAAGATTCACTGCAATCTATCAAGGATTCGGTACAAAGTGGACTTTATGGATCTATTCCGAGTTCTGAAATGAATATTCCATCTTATCAAAAAGATACATTTACAGATTCCAGTACTTTGTCTTCTACAAATAACAACTACGATCGGTATTCTGGTACTACTCAGATTTATCAAAAAATATTGTCATCTACTCCAAGTGGTTGGACAGACGTCTTATCTCATATAAAACAAGACAGTACTCAATCTCCTTTTAACAAAGATATGTATCCGTATAGTTTATTTTTATTCAATCAGACACCAACAAGTCATCCGACCTATCAAAAAGATGATCAATCAAAAGCGCCTTCAAAAGTGTCAGGCAACAAATCCTTTGTTAATGTAGATTCACATGAACATAATTCTCACAAAAATCCTCCAAAATTATCTAATTTAAATGAGCAATTATTATCTAGCACTTCGTATTGGTCAAAAACTTCAACAATTGGTATTCATTTACATAAACAAGAGGAAAATTTGAATCCTAAACGAACAGAATTGCAAAGCGTTACAATCGTCAGTGAAACGGTCGAAGCAATCCACCATCCTGACCATACCGGATATGTATCTCAACATAAAGCTACTAGTGAAATTCCAAGACCATTGGTACAACAAATAAAGAGCAATGTATCCGTTACTAAAAAAGCTGGACAGTATTATTATGAGAAAAATGTCTTGCATCAATATCCAGATGAAATAGTTAGCCAAAGTCCCAAAAGTAATCCTCATTTAACAGAGAAATCTGACAGAACACTCATTCGGGACCGAAAAATGACATCTGAGAAGATTACAGTAGAAACATCAGTTATTGACAATCCCATAATGAACTCTGAAGTGATTCAAAACGACAAAAATAAATTGACAACCTATGCTTGTGATTACTGTTCGTGGTAATTACACAGGTGACAGGGAAGATGTCCAAAGTGCTTTCTCGGTAGATATCAAAAATGTTGCACCGGCTGACGTTCCCGATAGATATTTCTCTTAAACAGTTCTGTTTACATAAACAATTGCACTTTGAAATCGTAACGAATACATGCTTTTTACGTAATCGACAGACAAGCGTATATGATGTTTCATAGGAGACACTATTTCGCAATAATCATAATATACCCTTAATTAAATATTTTTTTATTAAATATCTTAGAGATCTTTAATTACCTGTTACTTGTATTATTTGATAAACCTAAAATATCAATAAATTTTTATGTTCTGGTTTAAAATTTTGATAAAACTGTTTTTCGACAATAAGCAAGTTACAAAAATAATTTTATTGGGTCGGAGGAAAAGTTCTGCGGTATTTCGTTAGCTTAAAATTCTATACAGAATATATTCGTTGTGAAATTTTCGACTATTTGACATGCAAGCTTAAAGTTTTTCCTAAAAGTTCGTTTTTAAAAAATATTCCTATGACTTCTTGTCACCAAATTATATGCGGATTAAATAAACAACATTCTAACTTTGATTGCTCATAACTCTGTTAAAAATCATCGTAACGTAATTAATAAAACAGATTCTTAAAGCTGAAACTTTACTATATCGAATCCCAGCAAACATGACTTGGCAGTGTTATATGATTTTTTGTCATTATTCAGACGTCTCTGTTTTATAATAACAAGAGCTTTAAGGCGTAAACGAGATATCCTGATATAAATATGATAATTTTGTTACATGTCTTTGTTATATATTTAGCACATAACAAAATAATGTAAATTAAACATAAATAATGTAAATTAAGATACATCCATATACCATTCTATGAATGAGACATAACAAATACAAAATACATTTACATCACTAAGCCATAATGGAAAAAGATGTAAATAATACATATTTTGGTTACATCTACAGAAATGATTACTGTTGTCTGTAACAGTTATATCACTAAATTATGAGATTGTACTTTCCTAAAAAATTACATCACTACGATGTAACACAATTTCATAAATTATATGTCACTTTTTCAGTGTTTGAGCATATTTCACTATATTTGTTTTTGCACATTGAGAGAAGTGACTTTGTTATATAAATATATTAAGGGACAACAAATGTGATAAATTGAAAACAATCGATCAATAAGTAGTATTGCACATTATTTCTCATTATATTCTCATCGTCAATATATCAAATAATCGAAATAATCGGTATCGCTAACAAATAAAGTCTATCCAAAAGATAGATTAGATTCTACATAGTTTGTTTCTATTATGCTATCAGTTAATTATTTTTATGCAATTAGATAATAATATGTACGATTGTCGTGTAGATTTTTCCTTTATAGATACAAAAATATATAGAGAATAAGTATTTAACATGGATATATCATTATCATTTCCTAACTAAAGTGAATAAATACCAGCGTATTATTTCGTTTCCATGTAATCTCTTCAAATATTAATAATATTAAATTGTCAGCAGAGGCATGAAATTAATATAAGAATGATTACAATAGGAGGTATAACTGCGGGGGTGTTGCGATAGGGTACGCAATAGAGACCCTGTAACAGAGACTGGCCATCAGGCGATCCGCCATTTCTTAGCGAAATTTTGCAAGTAAGAGAGAAATATAGGCCATTTCACTCTTTCACTCACACGAATGTGTGCGTTTATATATGTTCGTTTATTCAAGTTGATTCAAAATGGTGTTCGTGATTTTTGCTCAGTATAAAATAGTGATCATAAAAATGGGTGGTTACACAGCACAATTTTGTAACAACTCATCAGAAAAAGGATATACCATGAAATTGTTTCCTACAAATCCTGAACGTCGAGCCATGTGGATAAAGAACGTTGACTACAAAAGTCATTTATTAGGAAAAAATTCATGTCTGTGTGAGGTTAAGTAGCATGCTCATTTAACAAAATTAATCAAGTGTACTAATTACTATTAATCAAATTAAAAATAATGTCAATTCCTAACTTTACTTTAATTTTATTTGAAAAAGATTTAATAGAATTAAGAAAAAATATTAAATACAAAAATTATTTTGACATATATTATTTATATTGATGTAAAAAGTACGGTTTTAATATTTCTATAATATTTATCATTACATACTATTTACATTCCAAGTAAATACAGTAATTGAAATTTGAATACCAGCGGGAATCGCTAGGAAATGGCGGACCAATCAAAAGTGGCACCCTGACGGCCAGTCTCTGTTAGAGGGTCTCTAGTACGCAATATACGCTCCAGCGTAGGGCACATAATTTGGAGGGGCGCACTTATTGAGCTCAACATGCCCACTTGTGACACTTGTAAAACTCCATTTAGGCTGCAACGTTGCGTTTGTGAAACATCACCCGAATGTTCCCATGTATCATTTTATCCTTGTTTAATATTCGGTGAACAACAAGGATAAAAACACGGAGACATTCGAGTAATATTTCCGAACGCAGTCTTAACCATGTGGCGACGCGCAACTCGGCGGCGAGAAAAAATGACTAGGTATGATGCCGCCCCGGCCATCCTTTTGTAGTACCTCGTTTTATCACGTGGGGGCGTAACACAGTAGGAAGGAGTAATGTCCCTAGAAGGTAGAGTCTGGCCACTACCCCTCAAAATGGCATCAGTAAATGGTGGGGATTGATCACAGTTTTCTCGAAGTATATACATATCGTGATATCGTGGATATACGTATACATACGTATACCCTTTTAAAGGACACAAGGACAATCAATTAACTTATACACAGTAAGTTAAATTATTATACACAGTAAGTTAAATTATCGTGTTGCAACTCGTCAATTTCACATTTGTTAGAAGTGTAAAATCCATAAGTAGCTTTCTAACCTAGCAAATAATAACATTCTTACAATATGTTAATCATAAAAGGAATTTTATTATGCAATACACATTATTTACAGAATACATAAAATGCCTTACTGTTGTGTAATGAAATGTTCCAACTCGTGGAAAACGGGACATTCGATGCATTGCCTGCCAAGAAATATTGAAAGAAAACAACATTGGCTTGCAAATATAGAAAGAAATAATAGATGTTACAAAAGACTGGTTTGTATGCGAGGTAAGTTTTATATATTGTTTAATTTATAGTGGACATATTTAAAAGTTGTATTAATATTATTATTAATATGCAACAGGTACATTTCTCACCCGAAATGTGGGAAAAACCATAGATGGGAATAGATGGGAAAAAGAAATTATAATATAATGCAATACCTACCGTTTTTCCACAAAAAAAATAAAAATCAAATTGTGACAGCTTTATCTCGAGTACACGACAATGAAATGATCTCTAATTCTTCCAATATAAGTTTAATTTTGTGTTAATTTTTTGTGCTATTATTTTTATTTTATTGTTATTATTTCTAATATACTTGTCATTGCAATATAGGATGAAGTCCATATAACAACTTTATCTCCAGTACCTGATAATGAAATGATCTCTCATTCTTTTGATGTAAGTTAAATTTCATATTATTAGTTAATTATTGTTATTTTTCTTATACATGTATTTGATATACACTACGCACAACAATTAGGGGATCACTTTGAAACCTACAAATTTGATTGATATTTAAGAAACTGTATCTCTGCTTCCAGAGATCGTAGGACAATTTTTCTGGGTGCGTTTTAAAAGGTGAAATGTCTACTTTGAAACCGTTAGTATAATATTTGCCGTCCCATCAAATGGTTTTTTTCACAAAGACCAGAAGCAGGTCGTGTTAAAATTCTGAAAATTTTGCGACTTTCCAACTCTCCACGAGCAAAATACAAATAGGTCGAAAAATCTCATTACATGCATTTTAAAGTTTGAAACGTTTCCTTTGAAACGAGACTTCAATCATTACTCTAGCATGCCATTGAATTATTAGGTTCCAAAAGGAACTTTACATTTTGCAAGATTTTGGGTAATTACCGCCGGCATTCGCGTTATCCGATGTGCACCACGGGGAGGTTGCTCGGTCGGAATTTGCACATTATGTGTGTATGCGTGTGTGTGTGCGCACGCGCTCGTGTGCGTGTGTGTGAACACAGTCAGAGATAAGGACCCCGAGGTTCATCAGTCCCTCGGTATTTTAGGGACTGACGATCCTTGAGGTCCTTATCTCTGACTGTGTTCACACACACGCACACGAGCGCGTGCGCACACACACACGCATACACACATAATGTGCAAATTCCGACCGAGCAACCTCCCCGTGGTGCACATCGGATAACACGAATGCCGGCGGTAATTACCCAAAATCTTGCAAAATGTAAGGTTCCCTGTGGAACCTGATAACTCAGCTTTTAGGCATGCTAGAGTAATGGTCGAGATCTCGTTTCAAAGGGAACGTTTCAAATTTTAAAATGCATGTAATGAGATTTTTCGACCTATTTGTATTTTGCCCGTGGAGAGTTGGAAAGTCGCAAAATTTTCAGAATTTTAACACGACCTGCTTCTGGTCTTTGTAAAAAAAACCATTTGATGGGATGGCAAATATTATACTAACGGTTTCAAAGTGAACGTTTCACCTTTTAAAACGCACCCAAAAAAATTGTCCTACGATCTCTGGAAGCAGAGATACAGTTTCTTAAATATCAACCACATTTGTAGGTTTCAAAGTGATTGCCTAATTGTTGTGCGTAGTGTATATCACACAATATAGGATGAAGTACATACTGCATCATCAGTTACTATATTTGAAAATTCGTCAAATGTCTCATTGACAAGTTTCCAAAATATAAAAATAGGAAAGCCATTGTCAATAGTTACTGTTACAAGTCTTGAAGAGGTAAATTCAAAACTCCAAAATGCAATATTACAGGCAAAAGAAGAAGTAGAACGGATAAAAATAAGAGCTAAACAAACGGAGATAAAATTGAAGAAAGCAAATGCGATAATTTTTAAATTAGACAAATCAAAAACGCTACTGAAGAGAAACGCAAGGAAACTTATGGATGAAAACAAAAAATTAGTACAGAAAATACGTATATTAGAAACAAGCAAAAATATCGACATCCGCAAAATATTGAATGATGATCAAGTTGTAGCTCTGGATGAACAAAATCCACGAAGTTTATAATGGAGTAATAATACGATTATAAAAGCTTTACGATTGAAAATGTCTTGTGATAGTACTGGTTACACAGAACTTTTGA